TACAGCTTTTGAATTTATTCCCTCATCAGCAAATACACAAAATCCAAGTTCTTGAATTTATACACCTTTGAAAAAATCACACACTTTGACTATAGTAAATTCTTGGATCATGGAGATTTCTAGCTTCAACTGCTTAGCTGATTTGGTACAAAATCCATTCATCTCTTTCCTTAATTTCTTCTTCTTCTTCTTCTTCTTCTTTATATACTTATAAATATAAATTCTTGATAAATAGAGTGCTTACAAGTGTCTCTATATAGAGTGATATTCTTGAATATTTTTAGATAAATATTCTTTTATTACACTTATTACAGGGAATGGGAGATCCTTTTCTCATGCAACAATGGCCTCATAATGTGGACTCAATCGACGGCCTCAGCTCCATCACCACCACAGCTTCAACATTCTCCGACGATTATAATTTCGATAGTAATTATCAATCTTACAATGGTACTTATCATAACAACGATAATTATTATTATCAACCCGCGCTCGAGGACTGCAGTAACAATAGGCCGTCAAAACAGCTCAAAACCGTGAAAAAACACGATCTTTCGCCTATTTCAAGTAGTGAGATTAATTTGCCGAAAGAGGAAATGTGGTATGGTTCGTCGTCGGGTATGACCCTCAACTTCTCGTCTCCAGAGTCGGTTAACCGAAATTACGCGCTGAAATCGTGCCAAGGGGCAAAAAGGGTAATTAGCACAGCGCAAGATTATCATATTATGGCTGAGAGGAAAAGGAGGGAGAAACTTAGCCAGAGGTTTATTACACTCTCAACTCTGCTTCCTGGATTGAAAAAGGTAACTCTACTGTATCACGTTAATTGTTGGAATATTCACGGTTATTATTAGCTTTTAGATACACAGAAGTTGCATTTTAACTACATGTGGATTAAATATTTATGGGTTTTTGTTTTTGGGCTAAAAAAAAATCTAACCTTTTGTTTTATGTGCTTGAATTCTTGTACGGTGCTTAAAGATTCCTTTTTTATTTCAAGCCCAAATCTTTATTTTTGTTCTTTAATGTTGTCCTGAATAAATACAAACAACTCTGTCACAAAGATTGCATTTTTCCTTTTTTTTTCCTTTATTTTTTTTCCTTTATTTTTTTTTTTATTGATTGATTGAGAAGTGTTTTATTTGTTTTGAAAATGATTAGATGGACAAGGCCAGTGTTCTTAGGGATGCAATCAACCACATAAAAGAGCTCCAAGAAAAAGTGAAGGCACTTGAGGAGCAAAGCAGAAAGAAGAAAATGGAGTACTCCATGGTTTTCATAAGAAATCTTTCCTCGGACGAGCAGAGCATATCAAGCGGGCCCGAGATCGAGGCCCGGTTTTGCGACCGGGAAATCCTAGTCAGCATACACTGCCAGAAGAGGAAAAGGGTTGTTGAAAAAACAGTGGCTGAGATTGAGAAACTCCATTTGACAGTTGTCAACAGCAGCAGCATCAGCCTTGGAGATTCAGCTCTCAATATTACAGTTGTTGCACAGGTTTTTTTTTGTCTGAAAAATTAATCACATGTCATCAGAATAATTACACAAAAAAATTAAAATAAAAAAAAATTAAAGTTTTTCTTATTCTAACGTTCCTTTTTTTTTTTTTCATCATGCAGAAGGATGAAGAGTTTGGTATGAGCATGAAGGACTTAGTGAAGAATTTACGGGCCGCGCTCACGGTATTCATGTGAAACATCGAAGGTCTTCTTGAATCGAGTTTTAAAAGGAATTAATGAATAAATAAGTGTCTGTTAATTTCTATGCAGTCTTGCTCTTGGTCTTGTGTTGTAGTTTTTTTCAGACAATAACCTATGCTGGTTTTTGCTATGAGGATCAACTTTTTGTAGAAGGGTTTTTTTCTTTTCTGGTTTTTTTCGCATGGTCTCAAATTTACTTTTTTTTGGCCATGTTAAGCTTTTTAACCCTTCTGTTGTAAAGTGAGTTACCTCATAGCTCTGTTTGATAGGTGAGTTTGGAAGAAGAAATTAATATGTTGTGTTTTAGAGGTATTTCAGAGTGTGTGTGCTGAAGCTGAAGCCTCTTTTCTTTGTCAAGATGTCATCTGTTGTTACTTTGTAATTTGTTTCCCAGTGGCACTTTTTTTCAGCTGTGATTGTTTTCTTGTTAATGTTTGATCATTTCTTTTATTCATTGTGAAATGTTGATGTTTGATTACTGTTTGTTGTGAAATTATTTATCCAAGTAAAGGTTTGTAAAATTATTAAAAGGAGGAGTCGTCTATATGTATAATTAGCTAGCTTGTAAGGTATATATTTATTCAAATCAAAATTAATTAAACATATAAAAAATGAGACTTAATTGCAAAAGTGGTACAAATAAGTTTTGGGTCTAGTCTATAGGAATTTTGTTCCTATAGGATAAAAACTCAATGTTTACCCAAGTTGGCATTAGCTTATATATTACACAACTAAATAGCTACAAACTTAATTAAAAGTTTAAAATAAATATATTTGTATGTCCAAAAAATAGGTCATGATGAGACCAAGAAATTTCAAACTATAATTAAAATTGATTTTGGAGGAATTGACATTCCATTGTGATTTTTTTTTTTTTTTCAAAATTTTCAAAATTATTATAGGATGAACGATAAATTAATTTAAATTCANGAAGTAGCATGTGAATACTTAGTAAGTAATAGGTGTAGCATGAGGGCAATCGCTATGACAAGTGATATTCTGTAGAGAGCGACTATAGTAGCACATGTTCGAGCCAATAGTTATAAAAAATGGTCTAGACGTGATTTTATCTCGTTACACACTTACACTTTCTAAAATGTGGTGTTTTGGACATTAAACCTTTTGAAGATGATTTTATCTCGTTACACTTTCTAAAATTTGTTTTTTTTTTCTTGGACATTAAACATTTTGAAGATGATTTCTTAATCTTATAAACTAGTACGAATCCCGTGCATTGATATTCATTAATATTTATAAATTAAATATTCTCATTAAATAATATTATAAATAAAAAGTACAAAGTACTTATATTAATTTATTGACAATATTATATAAAATTTAAATGGTACAAAATTACATAAAAATGTCTATTTAAAATTAATACACAACCCGCGCGCTGCATATAACTGATAATAAATTACGTTATATTCGTTTCAAAATAGGTGGCATTTCAAAATTTTTGTTCAGAAATTCCATTTGACTATAACGTGATTCAAAAAAATTATTATTTTGGTCAAATTTTATCATATATTTGAAAAGCTATGTGAATAATAAGTATAAATATAAAACTTATATTGTTTCATTAATTAGTATGAATTTATTTTGTATAAAATATCAAAATCAAAATATGTAAGTAGTTGAGTAAAAACAATTAGTCATAAGGTTTTTTATGCCAAAAAAATTGACACTTCTTATCATGCTAAAAAAAATGAACAGTGTATTTCACGCAAAAATTATTTCAAATATCGTAACAAAAAATGAATTAAATCGAGACCCACTAATTATACAAAAAAAATAAAATAAAAAATTGACCAGAGCTTTTTCTATAAAAGAAACATCGATACACGCACATTATATATCAAAATATCCGTTCATATTATTTTGTCGGAGTTACGATAATTTTATTATGTCAATTTCATACGAAAAATTGAAACTCACGCCTAAAAGCCAATATATTAGCATGCACATTCAGCGGCAGATCAAAATTTTCGTGAGACAGGGCAAAAAATAGTTTGAAATTTTTTTTAATCATATTGTGTTGGCTCAAAATAGTTCGAAGAAATTTTTAACCATATTGCAGAATGTACTTATATTACCACTTAAATAAATAGTTGGAATAATCGGGTGTTGAGGGGTTTCCTATTTAATTTGTCTTTGACTTGATGCTAAAAAATGAAATTGAGAATTCGGCCTGGTTATTTCATTTTGCGTTTTTATTATTATTAAGAAATATACCAAAAATATTTACAATCCATTTTCCTTCATTTTTTTTTTTTTTGTAATTAGAAATAAACAAGTCATTTTGAAATATAACTTATTAATTTAATAAAAGCCTAAATGTCATCATTTCTGTTATCGTTATTTTATAAGGATTTTCTTATAGAATATCTTCTTATAGATAAATGTAGAGTTTTTCATTGTCAACTAATGCGTATCCCGTGCGATGCACGGACGGGCTTTTTTACTTAAGACCTTTTTAAAAACTTTATATTAAATATAATTATATATGTTTAACATCTCATTATTTTAAGAAAAGAAATACAAAATATGAAAAATTATATATTATTTATTCGAATATAATGAGTGTCCCCAACCAAACCAATAACATCCAACACATGATATATGATCAAATTAATTATATGATCGTCATGCTTTTTGAATATATATATATATATAGGGGGCGGATCAAATGCGCCCAGCTCTTAAAATGCGTCCAACTCTTAAAATGCGCCCAGCTCTTAGCAACTACAGAGAACTAACTTAACAACTACAGAGAACTAACCTAGTTACTACTAACCCAGCAACTAAAGAGAACTAACCTAGCAACTACTAACCTAACAACTACAGAGAACTAACTTAGCAACTACTAACTCAGCTTTTGAGACTCAGTAGACTGTAGACTGTTGATTTGTTGGGCCCCTGTTTTGAGGTCTTGATCTATGCACAGGTTGGGGATCCAGCCCAATCCCCCGCCCCTCTGGGGACTTAACAACTACAGAGAACTAACCTAGCAACTACAAAGAACTAACTTAGCAACTACAGAGAACTAACCTAGCAACTACAGAGAACTAACCTAGCAACTACAGAGAGTTAGCCTAGCAACTACAAATATCTAACTTAACAACTACAAAGAACTAGCCTAACAACTACATGGAACTAACCTAGCAAATACAGAGAACTAACTTAGTTGAAAGGTTAGTTGTCAACGGTCAACGCCGGAAGTCAACGGTTAACGCCGGAGTTAATGAGTCAAAATAATATTTAAATAATTAAAATAATAAAAAGAAAAGAATAAATCTTGGCCACACATGATGTGCCAAATCTTGTGGCTAAAAATGAGTCTCGCGTCCACACTTTAAATAAGTGGATGCATTGGAACCAATCCCTATATATATATCTATATATATATATATATTTACTAAATATGAGATATTCAAGATTAGCATTAAAATTTGTAATTTGGATATGATATGAAAAATAGATATGTGAAAAAAAAAAGATATGCACCAAAAACCCCCCACATAATATTAGATTTGTTCTAAACTTTAAAAAAAAATTTGTAGTTAAGTTAAATATGAACAAAAAAATGATCAATTAAGTTGAAGTATCTGAATATAAAAAATAATTTCTGAAATTAACCTTGCTTATTAAATAATTACGAATTTTTAATTGTGACTATAAAATATGAGATTTATAGATAGATAAATATAGATAAAATAATATTTAACAATTACGTTGGAATGACTTTTCAAAAGTTTTCAAAAAAATTCAAACGTTTTATTCGTTAAATGATTGACCGAATTTTTGTAACCAAATTAATTTACACGTTTGACCAAAAGAAATTTTAAAATTGATTGATCAGACTTTTTAGAAGCAAGATTTACAATATTTTTTCTCATTATTGGCCAGATTTTCCCAATGTATTTAAGGAAATCATTGTCCATATTTTTAGGAATTGAGGTTTACACAATATCTTTCTCAAAATAACATTTTCATTTAAATTTAAATTCGAATTTTCATCCACTCGTCATTTTTCGAAAAAAAAACTAAAAATAGTAATTTTAAAAATTTTAAGCGGAAATTTCAATACTATTTCAAATAAAACTCTCTCTATATTATATAGTAATTGAATAATTTAATATTATTTGAAAAAATAATGTGACATTAAAAACAAATAGAATTCTTGTTAATATAATCTTTAAAATTTGTAGTGATCTATGAAGATATTATTAAAGCTTCAAAATTGATTGACAAGTTCCTAGTGATTAAAGTTAAAGTTTAACCTAATTAAAATATATGACAGTCTAATTACTGTCTAAGTATTATT